AGGTGAGTTCTGTACATACAAAAGCTGGGTAAACTGTAAAGGACCACCTTGTATTGGTTCCACCCTACTTAACCGGTGGAACAAGGAAGAGCAGCCAATGTCCAGTCCATGACTGCCCAGCTGCCTCCTCTTACCTTTCTTCCTTTGTCTTCGTTCAGTTTCTCTTATTTAAACTGTGCTGCTCACCTGGCCAGTGTGGTTCAGTGGCAGAGTGTCGGCCATGCACCAAAATGTCGTCAGTTTGATTCCCGGTCAGGGCACATGCCCTGGTTGTGGGCTCAATCCCTGGTTGGGGGGGTGTGCAAGAGGCAGCCAATGGATGTTTCTGTCTCATTGATGTTTCTATCTCTCTCTCCCTCTCCTTTCCTCTCTGAAATCAATAAAGATATAAAAAAATAAAATCAATAAAAACATTAATAAATAAAAAATAAATCTTGTTACAGTTTCTTTATGTGAAACATAAAACTTAAAAAATAAATAAATAAACTGTGCTGCTCAGTTGCTCACATGGAAGCCCCTCAGCTAACCCAACAGTACAAGGTGCCTCCCTCATCCAGCCAAAGGACTCAGCAAGGAGCCCGCTTCTTATTTCCTGGGGACAAAATGGCATAGATTCTACAGCTGAAAGATGGAAGAGAATGGAGCCCAAACACACATGGTAGCTCTCAATTACTTGGCAACTGGCCATTTCTTTTTTCTTTCCCATTCTCTTTTCTGCAGGCAGACAAACGTGGTCAGCCCTCACAGCTTAAAGAGAGTTGTGTGTAGAGACAGATGTTGAGATAATTGCTAATGTAAGCAATTTACAGTTTAAAATTTACAGGAAGGAAGTAGTTGTAAAGACAATATTGCCATCGCCAAAGAGTTTGTGGAGCATCACGTTCGGTGGTGTGACGCTGGGAGCCATCACTGCTCTGTCATCTTCCATCCATAGTCATTCTCTCAGTGTTTGTTTGCTTTTATTGCTGCTAAAAACGTGAAGGAAAATGAAGCCCTATCCTTTTCTAAAGCACTGGTAAATGCAGACTACTGTGGTGAAGAAATGGATCCTTGACAAGAATGGAGGCTGGGAATTTCCCAATCCGCTGCATTCCAGTGGATGAGGGAATAGTCAGAAATTATGGGTGGTTCCCCAACGGGAAGAACACTGTTGGGATTACTGACCACAAAAAGAAAAATTTCAAAATTTCCAGTTATGTTACTTTAGATTGCTTTTTTATCGCTGGGAAATCCACTCTTAACAGCACCAAAGGCAGTTTCTAAAGAAAAAAGGAGAGAAAAAAAGAAGATGCTACTTTGGAAGATGTCACTGCTCCATCCTTCAAATAGCCACATGGGGAATATATAGCAATTTCCTTGTAAGGAAATCCTGTACAAAACATCCTGTAGACTGGAACTTTCCTGAGAGCTGACTGACAAACCTCACCTAGGCTCTGAGGAAAGATACTGAACTCCGAAGTCAGCGAATCGCATGGGTATTTCTGACTGAGCCTTAAATGCTGAGGCAAAATGGGTAAGTATTTGAGGCACAAGCTATTTATTTTCTTATTCTTTACATTTCTCTGCAGGTGATTTTCATAACATGATGAGATTATCTAGTTAATGACTATGCTGCACATCTATTAGGAAAAATAGTCTATTTTTATATTACACTAGAGACCCAATGCATGAAATTCGTGCAAGAGTAGGCCTTCCTTCCCCTGGCTGCCGGCACCAGCTTCCCTCCGGCCGCTGGCAGGCACACAAACCCGGGCTTCCCTTGCAGCCCCAGCTTCATCCTGAAGGATGTCTGGTCTAATTAGCATATTATGCTTTTATTATTATAGATTATTTTTATTGGTGTTGGGATTAAGACTTACTATTAATGAAATTCAACAAATTAAGAAGAAGTGTGTAATTCATACCATGGGCATAATGGAATAGTCACTTGAAAAATCTTTCATTTGAAGAATTGCTTGAAAAGACTACTAATTTAAGACTAGATTTACTTTATTATTGTAACCTGGAAAATTGATAGAAGGTATGCCAGTTTTCACAACTGAAGAATCCTATGACCTAAGAATCTCTGAAGGATCATGTATTTGAAATAGCTTATTGAAAGTGGTTTCATTGTAAATTATTAAAATCCCTAGCCAGTTCTAAATGGCTTTCTCTGACTGTGTCTAATTTACAGGCTTTGTCAAGGAGTGGTTTGGTTTACTTATTTTTATTAAAGAATATTTATTCTGTTTTCTAACAAAAATGTAAATGCATGTTTATTGAAGAGCATTAGAGATTACCTATAGGCCTGTAGAGATCATTCCTATTAATATTTAGCCGTTAACATTAGTCGTTTAGTCACTTTTCTCCTAACCTTTTTGTTGTTTTTAAAATTAGAAAACAAATATATGCTTATCGTAAAAAAGTTTATACAATATAAACAAAAGGTGGAAGTCACCCTATTATGGGCTGAGTTGTGTCCTCCCAAATTTATATGTTGAGTCATTACCCCACTAGCTCAGAATGTAACTATTTGGGGATAGGACTTTTAAAATGTGATTAAGTTAAAATGAGGCTGTTAAGGTGGACCCTAATCTAATCTGACTGATGTCCTTATAAGAAGAGGAGATTTGGACACATAGACACCAGGATACATAGAGAAAAAGGACACAGCAAGCAGGCTATCTGCAAGCCAAAGAGAGAGGCCTCTGGAGAAACATGTGGACACCTTGATTTTGGATTCTAGCCCCCAAAACTATGAGAAAATAAGTTTATGTTGCTTAAGCCACTCTGTTTGTAGCATTTTGTTATGGCAGCCCTAGCAAACTAATACATACCTTTTACCCTTTCACCCACCATTTTCCCCAGTGGTAACTATGACTGACAGTATTCTTCCAGATTTATTTCCTAAGCTGTTGCACACAGAATCATATATGGGAAGGGTCTTTGTTTACACTGTTGGGATCATGCTATAAATATTGCTCTCTGTGACTTGCTTTTTTCACTTAACAGTATGTCATAGACTTTCCATGTCAATACATATAGAGAACCACCTACCACATTCTTCCTGAAGACTGCAATTTTCTACTATAAGAATGCGTCATGATTAATTTTCACTCCATTACTGATGAGCATTTGGATTGTTTTCCTTTTTCTATATTACCAGCAATGCTGCAGTAAAAACATCTTTTTACATTTGTGGTTGGGCTCATATGCTAATACATCTGTAAGAATAATTCCAGAATTAGAATTACTGGGCCAAGGAGCAAATTCATTTAAAATTTGAAAGCTATTTGTCAAATTGCTTTCCATAAGGACTTAAGCAATTTCCAGTCCTATTAATATATGTGAGACTGTCTGTTTCCCCATTTAGGCTTTTCTTTTCTTTTCCTATTTATAGGTATGTAGGAAATAAGTGAACAAATGCTTTAAAATAGTTTGCTAAGGTGTCCCTCTGCAAGTTAACTTCTAGTTTGCTTTTGGAACCTGGTTAAATGATTAAAATGGCATCCAAATCCAGTAGGCTCAATAAATGCTTGTCAAATTGCATTGGAGTGGTCTGCTTGGGCTGCCATAATAAAATAACACAATCTGGGTGGTTAAACAACAGAAATTTATTTTCTTATAGTTCCATAACTATTGGATAGAGTCCTCCAATTTAAGATAGAGAGAACCACAGCCAAGTGTTATTCAAACTTTTTTTGACTATGATCCTCCATAAGAAATATATTTTATGTTGTGACCTAATCCCCCTGCCACACACACATACCTGAAAAAAAAGATTGATCAAAAATACTTATCTTGCCCTAGCTGGTTTGGTTCTGTGGATAGAGCATTGGCCTGCAGACTGAAGGGTCCCGGGTTTGATTCTGGTTAAGGGCACATGCCTGGGTTGCGGGCTCAACCCCCAGTAGGGAATGTGCATGAGGCAGCCAATCAATGATTCTCTCTCATCATTGATGTTTCTCTCTCTCTCTTCCTCTCCCTTCCTTTCTGAAATCAATAAAAATATATTTAAAAAAATACTTATCTTAAAAATGTGAGTAACTATTTTGTATTCTATACTATTCTAATAATCTATACTAATAAAAGGGTAATATGCTAATTAGACTGGATAGACTGGATGTCTTCCAGATGTCCTTCTGGACAAAGCCACAGTAGCAGCAGTTAGGGTGATTAGACTGGCAGGGGAGAGTAGTTAGGGGCAATTAGGCCGGCGGGGGAGAGCAGGTTGGGGCGATCAGGCAGGCAGGCAGAGGGGTTAGGGACGATCAGGCAGGCTGGCAGAGTGGTTAGGATGATCAGGCAAACAGGCAGAATGGTTAGGGGCGATCAGGCAGGCAGGCAGGTGAGCGGTTAGGAGCCAGTGATCCCGGATTGCATGAGGGATGTCCAACTGCTGGACTGTGAGAGGGTGCAGCCAGGCTGAGGGACTCCCTCCTACCCTCCTACCCCCGTACATGATTTCGTGCACCACACCTCTAGTATAAATATAACACAAATACTATACATATATGTATGCTCCACTATTCTGTTCTATTTAGTTTCTTAAAAAAAAATGGTTGTGTTTTACTAAATTGATTTCATAACCCACTAAACTGTGTCCAAATCCAACTCCAAGAATTGAGACACGGGGAATTGAAGTGACTTATCCAATGACACAGAAAAGAATAAAAAAGGAGGGACCCATCACACCCACTGCTTTCCCTCATAGTACAGCTCAGTTATTTCAGAAACGGGTTGATTTAGACAGTCGTATGGACTCAGCGCATTCAGGTAGCTGTCATTCACTTTGCACTGAACTCATGTTTTTATAATTTGGTAAGTAGTCTGTAACCTGCCCCCAGAGAGAGCCATTCGTAGGCCACAGTTTTAGTGAAACTAGTAGACTCAAAATTTTTTTTCAGGTCTTAGTCAGGGAGGGATGTGTATGGTGGAACTGTGGAGGGTTCTGGATTTAAAGTCACACAGACAAGGATGTAAGTCCCAGCTGCAACCCTCTCTAGTTTTGTGATCTGTGGTCAAGAAGCTTCTCTATTAATCAACTTCCTCAAATGTAACATGGCGTTAATAATAATGATGATGATGATGATGATGATGATAATGACAACAGCCACCTTATAGAGTTGGATGGATTGGGTGAGGTCATTCATGTGAAGTATCTGTGTGTTAGTTGCATAACATTTTAAACATGGTTTGTACTCAGTATATGTAGACAGTTTGATGATGACAGCCATTAGGTAAGTCTAGTCCCAGGAAAAATGAGGCAACTCTTTGGATAGAACCTGAAAATCCAGGAGAGACCAATGGAAACTACCTACAATGAAATCTGAAGAGGCAACTCTACTTGGGTTCCATCGATTCCAGATCCAGGGGAGCATATGTAAGATTTTAACAAACTTACGTAGATTTACAATAAAAATGATAATAGCAATCAATAACAAGTGGTAGGTTTAAATATGAACTGGGGTATAGGGACTCAGTGATAAAAATTCAGTATCAGTGCTCAACCTAGAATGGACTGAATTTGGAGGGAGTTTTGGCTTTCTTAAACTGGCAGGTTGTGACAGGTGGCTTGCTTCTGTTGCAGTCACCCCTCAGTGGGCTGGAAGGCTCAGTCCTGTTGCTAAGAGCTCAACCCCACCCCTTCTTCTCACTCTATTACACTTCATCAGAAGCACGAAGTTCCAGAAGAAGTGGCCACCTATGGTGGGCCTGTGTCCCGTTGCTTGTACATAGTAGGCACTCAAAGAAAAATTTAGAGTCAAATTGGTTGCTGATACCATTCTCTTGCTTCTTAGTGGACTGTGGTTTCTTCTTGCAAATCATCAAATTCTTTTCTGCTATGACTCATACTAACAGAAAGACTGATAAAATATTTTGTCAGCAATAACTGAAATGTGTTCTTTTCCTTTTTACTTAAAAGTACAGTGTGCCCTAACCAGTTTGGCTCAGTGGATAGAGCGTCGGCCTGCGGACTGAAGGGTCCCAGGTTCGATTCCAGTCAAGGGCATGTACCTTGGTTGCAGGCACATCCCCAGTAGGGAGTGTGCAGGAGGCAGCTGATAGACGTTTTTAACTCTCTATCCCTCTCCCTTCCTCTCTGTAAAAAATCAATAAAATATATTTAAAAAAAATAAAAAAATAGTGCAGTGAATTCACTAACACTGAAATCAGAGCCAAGGCTGAATGATGACAGAAGGAAGTGAAGCATTTTCTTACAGGACTAGCCTGAAACTTCCTCCTTCCCTTTTAATTCATCAGACCAATGATTATAAATGTAGCAATAATTATAGGGTAGACCTGGTATTCTGAAAAATGTATCCCCATGCTTTGAAAATACTGTTCACCTGAATTACAATGACCACTAGTCATAAATGATCTAGAAAAATTTAGAGTCAAATTGGTTGCTGATACCATTCTCTTGCTTCTACAATGCCGGGGTCCTGCCCCAGCAGGTCCAGGGGTCCCCAAAGGCGTGGACGGAGTCGGTGAAGAAGGAAGGACACGGAGACAGTGTTCAGTTGATCAGCAGTCTAGCCAGGATCTCTAGCCAGGATCTCCAGCCAAGTTCTGGTCTGGATCTCCAGCGAAGTTCTGCTTCAGATCTCCAGCCAGGTTCTGTGTCCATGTTCTCTTGCTAGGTTCTCCAGGTTCTCCAGCTAGGTTCTGTAGCCATGTTCCCTCGCTAGGTTCTCCAGCCAGGTTCTGTCCAGGTTCTCCAGCCAGGTTCTGTAACCATGTTTCCTCGCTAGGTTCTCCAGCCAGGTTCTGTCCAGGTTCTCCAGCCAGGTTCAGTCACCAGGTTCTAGTCAGGTTCTCTTGCCAATTTCTGTAGTCAGGTTCAGTCAAGGATCTTTTGCCATGTTCTCTCGCTAGGTTCTGTCTCTAGGTTCTGAGGCCAGTTTCTGTCCAGGATCTTTTGCCATGTTCTCTCCAGCGAAGTTCTTCTGTCTCTAGAGAACGTTCTGTGTAGGTTCTGTGCCTAGGTTCTGTCTCTCTTGGTTCCGTATTCTAAGTTCTGTCTCTTGCTGTCTTATTACATCTGTATTTATACCAGTTGATTCAATCCTATCAATCTCTATTACAAAGGTTAGGGCGTTTCTTATCTCCATTCCAGGGAGTAAAGATTATGTAGCTTAAGCATGATTGTTCATAGTTAAAGTGATTAATTACCCGCCTGGCACTTAGTTAAGAGGTTTTATTCCCTCCCTAACTTCAGGGGAAAATCCCTACCTGGGGAAACAATCTTTCTCAGAGACCTTGGTTAAAACACATAGTGCCAAGAAGGTGAGCAAACATATTAAGAACAGTATGCCATATATGCCAGGTCCCTTGAAACAGTAAGGATGGACCGGCTCCCGGCACTACAACAGACATTCACAGTTTTTTAAAATATATTTTATTGATTTTTTACAGAGAGGAAGGGATACGGATAGAGAGTTAGAAACACCGATGAGAGAGAAACATCAATCAGCTGCCTCCTGCACACTCCCTACTGGGGATGTGCCCACAACTAAGGTACATGCCCTTGATCAGAATTGAACCTGGGACCCTTCAGTCCACAGGCCAACGCTCTATCCACTGAGCCAAACTGGTCAGGGCAGACATTCACATTTTTAATGCAGACCAAATATGAAATATCTGGAAAATTCACTAATTAGATAAAATTGCTCCCTCTTTCTCTACCATGGTACCCATATGCATGGGGGGGGGGGTACTTTGTTTACTTATCATGTGAATGACAAGGACTTTTGTTACCTTCTGAGAATTTGAAACTATTGATACTGGAATGGGCAAGGGGAGAAATGACATAATCAGATAGTGATTTATCTTGGGAAGCTGAGTGTAACAGTTTCACTGGTTTGTTTTGGAAGTTGCCTTTTAATAATAAAATACAGAGGGGAGGGCAGAGGGAGTGCAGCAGGTGGGGGGGTGTGCTGCCGCACCAGGTTCTGCACTGGCTACGCAAACTTGCTGCTGCTGCTTCTTGGTGGCTGCCTTGTTGGCAAGGTCCTTGGCCTTCTCTGTAGCTGCCAGTGCCGTCTCCTTTGCCTTCTCCTTGGCTTCCTTGGCTGTCTCAACAAGGGTTTTGGAAGGGGCCTCACCTTGCAGCTCCTTCTTTCTCTAATTCTCTATTAATCAACTCTAATCGGTTGCAAGCAATGTAGAGTTGCATGTTTCCATGGTAGAGAAAGAGGGAAGAGGATGCATTCAGAACCCTTCACTGACTTGGTCACATTGCTTTTGAACCGGGGGAGACCAAATTCCTGGACAGCTCTGGAGACGCCAGACAAGAGGAGACCCAAGCTTCCCGGTGGATTTCGGCCCAGCCGCTGTTATCAGAGTTCACACAGTAAACACATCGTTCCTCCACCACCGTCAACCGGGCGTGGTTGATGTTCCAAGTGAAGGTGGTCATGGTCTGGTTCTGTGGGTCCACAATAGAATCCTCCAGAATGTACACCGAGTGAGCAGCATTGGCAGGAAATAGTCGCTGGGCCCAGCGGGGCATCCTGTTGGTCTTGGTCAGGAGTCTCTGGGACAGGAGCTTCTGGTCAGGGGTCACCTCCCGGTGCACTGTGTCGTCTGTCAAGATATGCGTGCTATAGGGATTTGGGTACCGTTGCCAGAAGGCAGCGAACACTTGGTCCCGGGAACTCCGGAGCACGCTGTGGCCCAGGAAATACTTCACCAATGTCCTGGCCAGGGGGGGTCAGCACTGGAGCAGCATCAGGGGTGCAGAGCCCGGGGAGCCCGCCCGCCAGGTACCAGCTCAGTCACCGCCCACTGCACCCCAGCAGCAGCCATGGCCATGAGGAGTTGTCGGGCTGCCCCTGGAAGTTTTGACCTAAGAGAATTTTCCTCTTTGAGATTTTTATTCCAAATATGATAAGTTATTGCTTAGATAATTTCTCTGAAGTAAACTATAAAATCAGATATATGAAGTAAAAACTGTCATGTCAATGTCTTTGATTTTGATCCAGCAGTAAACTAGGGAGTAAGATGTAAGATTTAGTATTGCTTTTCCCACACTTTCACCTCCTGCCTTCTCCCCACTCCTATGATTTTAGGCTAGAGGGCAGAAAAGTGGGAGAAAAAACTGGAGTCTGGCCTTTCTACTCTCTCCCCTGTTTTTCAACCATGGTTCCCTAATAGCTGTTATTTGCTGAGAGCCTACTTTGAACTAGGTGTTAGATAAATCATATCTTAATCCATACAACTCTCCATCAGAGCGGCTATTACTGTCCTTATTTTTCAGATGAGAACACTGAGGCACAGAGATTGTAAGTGTGAATGGAGCCTGATTTCAATACAGTTCTATTTCATTCCCAAATGTTTACTCTTTCCAAACATAGAATATGTACTGTGTACATATTTGATCACTTCTGATTCCTTCATTCCCACACTACAGAGGACATAAAACCCAGGGCCTCCTCAGTTCCCTCTGAAACCAGGCTTAACAGAAGAGAAGGGAAGACCTAGTTTTAGGAGAGAAGAAAGGCAAAATAGAGATGAGGCCAAGGAAAGGAAAAAAAAAAAAAAAAGGAAATTTGGGAGAATTTGTGGAGAATGGGAAAGGAAGAATTAAATTCAAGTCCTGCAAAAAAAAAAAAAAAAAAAAAATCAGGAATGTCCTTCTCATTCAGGCTATTTTATATGGAGTATTTCCTAGTTTTTTCACTGGAAGTTTCTCAAAAAATGGTTATCTTGCTCAAGAATTTTTACCATTTTGTATTTTAAGGAAATCAGATAATGATGACTTAGCCATAACAGGAGTGACTAAAAGAGGCTCAAGTTACTTATGTCAACCAATCTTTTCTGACCCTTTATTATTTCCCTCCTCTTTAATTTGTTCTCTCCATTTCCTTCTCTTTTACTGATACGCTCTGACTGCATTCAAGACAATAAGCATTGTGTACCTATTGTACCTAAGATATTGTGGGGTGCAGTATAAAGAGAAAGTCATTGATCACGTAATAGGAGGAAATAAGAAGCACACACAAGTAATTTTGATCCAAAAACAATGGTATAATTGAATAGAGATAGAATGTACTGTGAGTATCAGTACATTCTATCAAAGAGGATAAGGATCTCATAAACTAATTCACAATGAGGGTCTGGTGACAAGTTAAAGCGTGGCCGATGTGGAAAGAGCTGGTGGTGGTGATGGTGAGGTAAGTGGAGGTTTTTATGCCTCCATTTCATATATTTATGTATTATTTGTTTTGGTGGCCAATCCCGAGTCCTGAAAATTGACTTTATTTTATATTCTTACTAGAGGCCCAGCATACATGAGGCACTAGAGGCCCATCTTCTGCCTGCTCACCAGTCCCCACTGCCATGCCCTGATTCACCGTGGTTCCCCGTTTGCCAAGCTGCAATCGGAGCCTAAGGGCTGGGGGAGGGACCAAGAGGTCGACCGTTCTGCTTGGCTTGCCAGTCCTACCCTGCTGCCACTCACCTCGGTTCGCTGTGGTTCCCTGGTCACAGAAGAGGGACCAAGAGGTCGCTGTTCCGCCCACTCGTGGAGGGTGGAGTGCAGGGGAGGGACTGAGAGGTGCTCAGTGTACCTCATAGTGACCAGTCATTTGGTCATCCTGGTTGTCACGGACACTGGCTTTTTATATATGTAGATTGGTTATTGCTAGTGTAGAAAAATTTATAATTTTTGTGTTGTCTCTCTTGAATCTTGCTATATCATTAAATTATTTTATTAGTGCAAGTGATTTTTCAGTTGATTCTCTTAGATTTTTTGTTATATTTGCAATTAATAAGCCACCCCCCCCCCCAAAAAAATACTTATCTTTTCTTTTCTTCTCTTAATTCATTGTCTATGAACTCTAGTACAATGGTCAAAGATAGTGATGAGAGTATATCCTCTTATTTCTCTAACAGAAATGCTTGTAATGATTCACCATTAAATATGATGTTTACTTTAGTTTTCTGATTCTCTCTACCAAATTAAGGAAGTATCATTCTCTTTCTGGCTTGCTAAGAACATTTTAAAAAATTATGCATGGGTGTTGAATTAATAAAAACACATTGGAAACTATTGAAACATTCAAATTGTTTTGCTCCGTTAATCTATTAATATAGTGAATTATATTAAAATACACTAATGAAAGTATATCATGATAAATGTTACTTGGTTATGTTATATTATTCTGTATTATTCTTTTAATACTTTGCTGAATTCAATTTGCTAATATCTTACTAAGAATTTTTACATCTATATGTACCAGTATATGTGGGATTTGTCTGTGATTTTATCCCCCTTCCCATGATGTTCTTGTCTGATGTTTTATATTGAGGCAATGCTAATCCTGTTGAATGCATGCTTTTTCATTTTCCTATGATCTGGAGCAATTTAAATAATTCAGGAATTATCTGTTCTTTGTGAATTTGATAGAACAGTTTGGGACTGGTGCCTTTTAGGGGTAGTAGATAACATAACTTTTTCAATTTAAATTGTAGTTAGTGGCCTATTCAGATTTTCTAAACTCTTCTTGAATCCATTTTAATCACTCACATTTCTATTATAGCAGACCTCAGTAATTTTTGCTTGTGTAACACTGTATGTCCTTTAGGAAACTGTTCTCCCATTTATAGTGGTCCCAGAGTGACTGTCAGTTTAGGTGCCCTTCCCATCATTTCATCACAGGGATGGACTCAAGATCCAAATAGGGCCAATTGGAATCTTCCCCTGGATTGATATATAGACATCAGAGCGGGAAATTTTCCTTTCCCCCACTTTAGTTCTTTTTAAATATTTTTTTTTAATCGATTTCAGAGAGAGAAAGAGAGAGGGAGAGATAGAAATATCAATGATGAGAGAGAATCATTGATCAGCTGTCTCCTGCATGCACCCTGCTGGGGATTGAGCCCACAACCAGGCATGTGTGCTGTCCAGGAATCGAACCATGACCTCCTGGTTCATGGGTTGATGTTCAACCACTGAGCCACATTGGCTGGGCTCCCACTTTGGTTCTTAAAACTAGGAAGATGAGATATTGTGGCTGTAGGTGGCCATTTTCTCTGACACATGGATAGAACTTGCCTGACCTGAGAGAAGCTGAGCTATTTCAGATTTCTTTAGTTTTTATCTAATGTCTTTTCACTGTTCCAAAATCCCATCCAGGACACTGTATTACATGGGCTTCTCTTTGCTGTGAAAGTTTCTCAGACTTCCCTTGTTTTGATGTCCTTGACAGTTTTGAGAAGTACTAGTCAAATATTGTAAAATGTCCCTCTGCTAAGAATTGTCTGATGTTTTCTCATGATTTTAGGTTTTGAGGAGGAGGACAATAAAGGTAGTATCATTCTCAAGGGTACATATTATCAGGGGTACATATTATCAGCATGCAGGAGAGAGCTGATGCTAACCTTGACCATTGGTTGAGGTAGTATATGTCAGGTTTCTCAACTATAAAGTTATTTTTCCCCTTGCCATTCTGGACTCTTTGGAAGGAATTTGCTGTGTGCAGGCCACACTTAAGGAGAGGGGAGTTATGTTTCATCTCTGAGGGGGGAAACAAACACAATTTACTTTGAATTCTTCTGCAAGGGAGATTTGTTTCTTCTTCTTAATTAATTAATTAATTAATTCACTAGTGTATTTATTGAGTTATGATGGACTCATGGATATACTTTGGGTTATAATTCAATATTGCTTTACTTATTTTGTTGCTTAAATTGTTCCCGTTTTGGCCATTAGGAGATCTTTCCCTTGACTTCAGTGTCCTTTCAACATACCTTATTTTTGTGATTGGTGGCGGGGGTGGGGGGTGGGGGTGGGGGGTGGGGACGCGGGCAGAGCTGAGGGGAGGTAGGTAGCACTTCCTTACTCTCTGCCACTGTAAGATGCTCCAGGATTATCTTTTACATTTCTTGTTTCAGACCTAGAATGAGTCATTTCTCCAAGGAGCCCTGCTTCATTTGATTGTAGAGTAGTGTAAGAAACCAATATTTGAGTGCTGGAAGTTCTTGCTGCTACTGAAGTGTCATTGTTTCTAGACCCTCTCTGCTGATGGAATAAGAAAATATATGTGTTTGGATAATCTGTAAGTTACAGGCATAAGTAAATCTTTCTGTTCGTAACCGTTTATATTAAACTACACATGAACTCATAGTGATATCTCTAATCTACTTCCACATGGATCATTCTAGCTTGCTTCCCTTGCTTATCTGTCTAGACTCCCACCCTCCTCCATTCATTTCCTTAATTGTTCAATCACAGTATACAGGTATAACAGTATCAGAATTGTTAACCCATCCCCCCTGGTGTATAATTTTAACAACTGGAGTCCAGTGTTTATATATAGTTCCTTTTCCTTTTTTTTTTTTTTTTTTTTTTTACAGACTCTACTTATTTTCAGAGTTCCTTAGGTCAGTACCTTTTCCCCTTTTCCCCATCTGCTTCAGCGAAGTTGTTTCACAGATTTGTAACACAGCAGATGGTTTTGTCACATTCTGCATAACGTCCTGGGACTTCCTTGACCTCCTAAACGATTTTTGTAATTTGCACACATTAAGATTCATTCTTTGTGCTGCATAATTCAATGGGCTTTGATAAATGCATAATATCATACAGAATAATTTCATAGCCCCCAAAGTCCCTGTGTTTTATATATTCAAATATCCCTCTATTCCTCTGGAACTCCTGATAATTTTTATTGTCTAGTTTTGCCTTTTCCAGAATGTCATATAGGGAGTCATACTATAGTATGTAGCCTTTGCATACTGTCTCCTTTCATTTAGTAATATGTGGTTAAGATTCATCTGTGTCTTTTCGTGTTTGGTAGCTTAGTGTTTTTTTTATTGCTGAATAATTTTCCATTGTATAGGTAGGTGTCCCACAGTTTGTTTATCCATTCTTCTCTTGAAGGACATCTTGACTGTTTCCAGTTTTTGGCTATTATGAATAAAGCTGCTGTAAATATTCATGCTTACATTTTGTGTAGACATAAGTTTTCACTTCAGTTATGTAAATAAATAGGACTATGATTGCTGGGTTGTATGATTAGGCTATGTTTACCTTTGTAAGACACTGCCTAATTGTGTTCCAAAGTACCACTTTGCGAGTCCCCTGGAGTGCCAGGGTCCAATCCCAGCAGGTCCAGGGGTCCCCAAAGGTATGGACGGAGTCGGCGAAGAAGGAATGACACGGAGACAGCGTTCAGTTGATCAGCAGCCTAGCCAGGATCTCCAGCCAGGATCTCCAGCCAAGTTCTGGTCTCGATCTCCAGAGAGGTTCTGCTTCAGATCTCCAGCGAAGTTCTGTGTCCATGTTCTCTTGCTAGGTCCTCCAGGTTCTCCAGCTAGGTTCTGTAGCCATGTTCCCTCGCTAGGTTCTCCAGCCAGGTTCTGTCCAGGTTCTCCAGCCAGGTTCAGTCACCAGGTTCTAGTCAGGTTCTCTTGCCAATTTCTGTAGTCAGGTTCAGTCCAGGATCTTTTGCCATGTTCTCTCCAGCGAAGTTCTTCTGTCTGTAGGTTCTGTGTAGGTTCTTTCTTCTTAGTTCTGTGTTCTAAGCTCTGTATTCTAAGTTCTGTCTGTAGGTTCTGTCTCTCTCTCCGTTCTGTCTTCTTACATCTGTATTTATACCAGTTGATTCCAATCCTATCAATCTCTGTTTCAAAGGTTAGGGCGTTTCTTATCTCCATTCCAGGGAGTAAAGATTATGTAGCTTAAGCATGATTGTTCCTAGTTAAAGTGATTAATTACCCACCTGGCACTTAGTTGAGGGGTTTTATTCCCTCCCTAACTTCAGGGGAAAATCCCTACCTGGGGAAACAACCTTTCTCAGAGAGGAGACCTTGGTTAAAACACAGTGCCAAGAAGGTGAGCAAACATATTAAGAACAGTATGCCATATATGCCAGGTCCCTTGAAACAGCAAGCATGGACCGGCTCCCGGCACTGGAGCTTCCTCCTTGACAGCCTTTGTTGCTTGAGGCTGGAACTGGCCTCACTTTGCCTTGTCCTGCTGGTCCCTCCAGACCCTTGAGCTCTGGCCTTCCACATCATGCACTGTGGGGTGCCGGCTGGCTGGCTGAAGGTGAGGGATACACTGGAGGAAAGTAAACTAGTGAATGTTGGAGTAACCTGGTGGCTGTGCCTTCTTGCAGGTTGCTCAGACGAAGAGGGATGGTTGTGCGGCTGTGGGTTAGAGTCATATAAAGCTTACCCATTATTTTTGGGCTGTCTGTTAAGGATCTTGTACACACTGCTTGCATCACCAGGCCTTGTGGCAAATATGAGGGTCTATGATCTTGGAATCCTTAGTTTGTCTTGACGCCTTGACATTTTGGGGAGTTTGATAATGCAGAGTTTAATTGTAATTAAATTCTTTTGAATCTCCTTCCCCACACTCCCTCACCCCCAGCACAACAACTGTGGTTTAAAAACTCAATTACACAGTCTTTAATCTTTATCTTAAATCCAGTTGGTAGCAGTATGTTTTCAGAGGCTATGCGAAAAACTAATATTTGTATCGGGTGTGTTGCTGTTTGCTCATTCGGGCTCTTTATTGTGTTTTTCATAACGTATGTATCAAGGCAAGGTTAAGTAATTTTTTTCAAGCCCCAGACAAACAAACAAACAACACCCCCTGTCCCCCACAAAAAAAAAAATACCATTTTTCATTCCCATCAGCAATGTATGTGTTCCTCTTACTTTGCATTCTCATCAGCATTTCGTATCATCAGTTTTTTGGATTTCGGCTATTCTAGTAGGTGTGTAGTAGATGTCATTATTGTTTTAATGTGTAATTCCCTAGTGACAAATAATGCTGAGCATCTTTTCATATGCATTCCCCCCCCCCCCCCATCTGTATATTTTCTTTGGAGAGGTGCCTGTGCAGGTCTTTTGCCCATTTTTAATTGAGTTGTTTTCTTACTGTTGAGTATATTTTGGATAACTATCCTTTATCAGATATGTCTTTTGCAAATATTTTCTCCCAGTGTAGATTGTCTTCTCATTCTTACACAGTGTCTTTTACGCAGCAGGCATTTTTAATTTAATGAAATCCAGCTTACAATTATTTATTTCATGGATTGTGCATTTAGTGCTGTATCTAAACCAAATTCATGTTGATTGTCTTCTTTGATATCTTCTAAGAGTTATATAATTTCACATTTAGGTCATATATATTTGGATTATTTTTTATGAAGGATATAAACTGTATTTAGATTCTTTTTTGACATGTGCATATCAAGTTGTTTCAGCACCATTTATTAAAATGACGACTACCTTTTCTTGATTGTATTATCTTTCACCTTTGTCAAAGATTAATTTACTATATTTTTGTGGGTCTGTTTTTGGGCTCTCTAGTCTATTCAATTTTTTTTAAATTAAATATTTATTGTTCAGATTATTACAGTTGTTCCTCTTTTTCGCCCCCATAGCTCCCCTCCACCCGGTTCCCACCCCATCCTCTGCCCTCACCCCCCCCCCCCCACTGTCCTCATCCATAGGTGCACGATTTTTGTCCAGTCTCTTCCTGCATCCCCCACAACCCCTTTACCCCCCAAGAACAGTCAGTCCACTCCCTTTCTGTGCCCCTGATTCTATTATAATCACCAGTTTATTCTGTTCATCAGATTATTTATTCACTTGATTTTTAGATTCACTTGTCGATAGATGTGTATTTGTTGTTCATAATTTGTATCTTTACCTTTTTCTTCTTCCTCCTCTTCTTAAAGGATACCTTTCAGCATTTCATATAATACTGGTTTGGTGGTGATCAACTCCTTTAGCTTTTCCTTATCTGTGAAGCTCTTTATCTGACCTTCAGTTCTGAATGATAGCTTTGCTGGATAAAGTAATCTTGGTTGTAGGTTCTTGGTATTCATCACTTAGACTATTTCTTGCCACTCCCTTCTGGCCTGCAAAGTTTCTGTCTAGTCTATTCAATTAATATATTTGTTTATTCTTTTGCCCAACACACTGTCTTGATTATTATAGCTTTAGAGTAAGTCTTGTCGTCAGGTAGTGTCAGTCCTCTGACTGTTCTTTTCCTTCAATGTTGTGTTGGCTATTCTGGGTCTTTTGCCTCTCATATCCTTTAGAATCAGTTTGTTGATACCTACAAAATCACTTGCGGGGATTTTGATTGGGATTGCATTGAATCCATAAATCAAGTTAGGAAGAACCGACATCTTGACAATAACTATCAATGAAAACGAAATCTCTCTCCATATAGTTAGTTCTTTTATTTCATTAATCAAAGTTTTATAGTTTTCCTCATATAGATCTTATAAATATAGAAAGCAATTTAATTTTGTATATTAGCCCTGTATCCTGCAACCTTGCTCTAACTGCTCATTAGTTATAAGGCTAGTTTGTTTTTACTTCTGATTTTCTACACAGACAATCATGTCATCGGCAAAGACAGTTTTTCTCCTTCCTTGTTAGTATGTATACCTTTTATTTCCTTCTCTTGTCTTATTTCAGTACCTAGGACTTCCAGTACTATGTGAAATAGGACTAGTGAGAGAGGACATCATTGCCTTGTTCCTAATCTTTGGAGAAAAGCATGTAGATTCTCACCATTAAGTATGACGTTAGATGTAGAATTTTATAGATGTTGTTTATCAAATTAAGGAAGTTTCTCTATTCCTAGTTTGCTGAGAGTTGTGGTTTTTAAAAAATTATAAATGGATGTTGGATTTTGCCAAAAGCCTTTTTTTTTTGGTAACAGTTGTTATGCTCATGTGAATTTTTTTTCAGCTTGTTGGTATAGTGTAGGGGTTGGAGAATACCCAGCCCGCGGGCCATGTAAGGCTAGAGAAATCATTTGGTCTGGCCCTGCCAAGGCATTTAGAGGTGAGGTAATTAAATGTTTGACCAAATATAGCAGGCTAATATTTAAGTTGATAATTTTGTATGGCCCTCAAATGATGTTATAAATATCCAAATGGCCCTTGGCAGGAAAAAGATTCCCCCACCCCTGGTGTAGTGGGTAATATTGACTTTTGTGGATTTTTAAAAATATTTTTTTGCTTAGGTAAAATTTATAAATGGTGAGAGACATAGATGTTCAGTTTGCAATTAGATGAATTTTATACATAGATCAGTCATGTAACTGACACTCCAATTAAAATATAGAACATTTTCTTTATCCCAGGATCATCCCCTTGTGTTCTGATTAATCTTCACCCATCTTAGGCAACCACCATTCTGACTTCTGTCACTTGAACTTCATAGAGACAATAGTGTTTGGTGTCTGGCTCTCATCATCAACATAATGTTATTTAGAATCAGTCACATTATTGCATGTATCAGTATTTTATTCTTTTTTATTGCTGAGTAGTATCCCATTGTATATTTGTTTTTTTAAGTTTAATTGTTTAAAGTATTATAATTTTATTGATGATCATTTCAATCATTTCCAGCCTTCAGCTATTTTCATTACAGCTACTATTAACATTTCTACTAGTCTTTTGGTGACTTTTGGGTAGGTATATATTTAGCTTTTA